ATTTTGATGTGTCTGATAAACGACTCATCAGTTTAAAATATGAATCTTTTTTCTGTAAAAGAGCATGTTACTATGATGCTGTCCGCATTTTTCGGTATATGCAGTGTCTGGTGAATCATGTTTTTGTTGAAATATTTATAGAACGTCGTGTATGGAGAGCAAAACTCATCAAAATCGATGTGAACATTTCTCCACCGCCAGTCTGCCATCGATTGAATTGTTTTAATTAACATATCGCCTTTAATTCAATTTTTACCTTTTATTTCCCCCAGAATTAAAAAGACTTCTTAATAAACAAGTATCTATCCTATGATCTTGGAGATGCCCAACCACAGTTGGGCAAATTTTCAGTATGTATACAATCTAAATTCACAAGGTACATTATCGTCGTATATGTATATTAATTCATGACGATATAATTCTAAACCAAGTTCAGTCATCCCATGTACATAGGACTTCCCATTACCTAGTTTACCTCGAAAAGCGGTGTGCCTCATTTCACTAGCCCGATTCTTCACAAAAGATAACGAAGAAAGTAAGCCAAGAGAGCTCCAAAAACCACAACAAGAACCCAAAACAAATATGAAGACTCCTTCTTCGCCATCATCGGCTCGCATCTTTTCACTTTCAACGGGTATTGGTAATCTTCTTCGACGCTTTTTATCACATTTTTTGCACCTTTCCAGGTGTTTGGCCCTTGTAGTCGATATTGGGCGCCGATTCCCGGCCCATAGAAACAGCAGTAGGCTAGTTTAGGGTCTCTTAGAAAAATGGACCACAGGTTTGGCTTAGCACCTATCAACGCGGACACTTCGTCCATGTAGGGAATATTCATAACCTGAAAGATATGGTTTTTAAAAATCGACTTGTAAAGACAGGACAAACATCGTATACTAAAGCAATACTTGACGCAAAACGTGACTGTCAGTATGTGTAAAGCTTGCAACAAAGTTAATTTTTTGACTTGACATTCGATCATGTTCACTTACACCGTACAAAAACTTTTCCTTCGGTCTGCCAATCTTCGTAAGGTATTCCTCTTCTGCCACACATTCAGCCACCCTGTCCGCTTTGCTCGGCAGCACACACCTTCCGGCAAACACCTCGCAAGCCACCCTGGCTTGGATCTCCCAGATCGGAGGATGTGCTCCGATGGTCTCCATGAGCCCTATCACAGCCAGGGTTTGCTGGTCTGCGTCCGGTATGAAGATGTGTTTGTACAACCTGAGTGTTGAAAAAATAATCTAATGACATTCACATTAATGAACAGCTTGGTTGACTCTACAAAGTTTACTTCTGCTTTTCAAGAGAACAAGCTGCGTTGATTTACTTTTTCCTTGTATATTTTGTAACTGCTTATCATCTCTGTCGTGTTATTGTGCGGGTATTAAAATACAGCAAAGACGAACAAATTATTTGTGCACATGTTTTGAATTTAAAAAATAAACCAAGATGATGGCGGCAATTGCAAACAACCTATATGAAAGTCGAAAACCAGTGACACCCTCGAACTAAACACGAGTAAATTTAAATGCAAATCATGGACGAATTGAAGCGAATGCTTTTTGGTAGTGGAAACATCAGATTTGTACATATAGAAAAGTCGGAAACAGACTTGGTTTTAAATTTATACCTCGTATAATGGCCATTCTCGACCTCAATGAGATCAGACGCAAATGGAAACTTCAAATCAAAACCGGTAGCATACACTATGGCATCGATGTTGTCCACCACGTCCTCACCTGTGTGGGGAAATCGTTTGGTCAATAAAAAGCATACAAAATCAATCATTATAACTTTATATGTCTGTGAAAATTCATCCAATTTAAAATCTCAACATTAAGGACTTCGTTTTCCCTATGGACGGTGGAGGATGGAATAAAAATCGAATATAAACAAATTGTCAGGTTTATAAAAACGAACTAATTTGTGAATAATAACAGTTCTATGTATTGCAACATTTTTGTATATGAAATTGATCTTATTGAATTTTACGTTCTAAGAATACTCAAGAACTTCATTTTCTCCCAGAATGGTGGAGGATATAACAAAAAACAGTCACGAACCGTCAAAGACCACAGACGACCCCCTAAGTTCCTTCAGTGCCCCCTTTACGATCACGCGACCAGACATAATTCTGGTTGGCAATTCCTCGAAGAATGGAAATTGCTGAACCATCGCGACTCCTGTGACAGATTAATTGCAGGTGTAATGAGAGAAATAAGTATCATATATATTAGTTTAATTAGTTGTTATTAATTGCAAAGCAATTACCCGTAGGTTGAAGACCGAGACGTACAAAATCGTACTCTGTATTGAGAACACCTTTAAAAAGGCTGCGATTGAAATATTTGTTGACGAAACTCTCTTGCCGCGTGATCTGATGATCAAACGGTTTTGTGGAGCCTGGCACGAGACGTTTAACCACATAACTACCCTGCCTTGTGCTCAGGTACACTTGTGACGCGTGAAGGCTCAGCTCAATGGAAATATCACCTAAAAACATAGTCGTTGTTTGAGAATCTCCCGACCAGAGCATCATCGTCTTCGACAACTAAAGGCCTGTTCACACGATGCAAATTTCTTGGATCCAATTTACTTCTAACGTAGGTAATAAAGTCTGTCATTGATAAGGCTATACTGCATTATCTTAGTTGATTTACGGCCCATATAAACTGAAGGTTAGTCGGCTATAAAACATCAATCAGAAGTGAATTGGATCGTGTGAACAGACCTTAACATCAAACGAGTGTCATTTTCGGTTCGGTTCATTATTTGGGTCGAAGTTTCAGCGGGATCAGTGATTTTCAGAAACAGCAATACCTACCAGCCGAATAACTGCTACCCACAACAACAACCCTCTTCCCAACAAAAGGATGAAAACTTCTGTAGTTCCCGCTGTGGACTTGAACACCTTTGAAATCTTCCATTCCTGGAAACTTAGGTGTAGCTGGATAGCAAAGATGTCCAACGCAAATCATCACCGCATCGAACGTCTCCTCAATCGTTTCACCCTTGTGATTCTCCTCCGTAACTTTCCCATCTTCGGATTTTCTGAAAAGATTAGCGATATTTCTTTGTACAGAGCCAGACCTCGTGATTAATAACCTAATATATTGCCATGTTGCACAATATACATTTAGTATAGAATAGCCGCTATGATGTAAGAAGCCAACTGGATGAAACAGATTGAACTGGATTACCCGCCATTACTTCGGCTGTGCAGTGCAAGTGGATGCATAAAAATCACGAAGACGTGCATTACAAAACTGTGTGTTCCTAATCGAAGCCCTAATGCATACTTCCTATGCAGAAAAGGTCTTTAATATCAATAGGCGACCAATCCGGCCATTCAAACAAGGGGAAATTATGCAAAACGCTTGTTCGCGTCTTAAATAAGACGGGCTTAGCAGACTCGTATTATAAACGTACAGCCCCCGTCTTAAGTCCGGCTACACGGCGATTTTTGAGGTCGATTTTCTTCTCTTGGTGTATGTTATTAGGTAAATCCAACAGAGTAGGTTACTTTACTTCGCCCAGCATAAACAACTGCGTAAATAATTCACACAAAAGCATACGCTGTGCCTTATAATTGTCTTCGATGAAAGGCTGCGAATGCATGTGATGTCTAAAAGAGTCTCTCAAACGCAAGAATTGTACAGACATAAAAACGTTTATCACTGCACAAATAAAAGGGAGTTTAGTGTGCCTCGAACCCAGAATTGCCAAGTTTGCCTGCAAAATGTGAAGTAGTACACAAATATATAGCCATGCGAAGTTGGCAATTTTTGAATACTTTGCATTGCGGGCGAAGGTAGGTGTGAAACTTATTTAGTTACACTCTTGTGGCCATAATACAAAGTATACAAAATTTGCCAAACTACGTTTGGCTATATCTTCGGTACTTTGTAATATTCCGCAGCCAAGAACTTTTCTTTTTTACAATGTTTAAAACACGGTTTTAATCATGCAAGCACAATGCTTTCAGATTAATTGTTTACACACAATCTAAAAAAAATTCGTGGCGAGCAAACATTATCTTCGCCGCCAACTAAATAAAAATGAAATAAAAATGAAATAAACCTTGGAATATATTCGCCGGAAAAACCGTAGATTCTCTAAATTGGAATTTGAGATTGATTTGTATCGATTTCCTGGGCCGAAAATGCATATCAAATTATGAATCAAACTCTGATTCAATTAAAGTAACTCGCTGGACTCGAGTTTCACATATTCGTTACAACTCCTTGCATTCAAGAATCCAGTTGCAATTGTAGAAGATATTTTAAGATTTAAATACCCTGAGAGCTAAAAACGTTTGTGATTTTTTAAGACAGTTATTCGTCTACCTTGTGTAGGATACGAGCCATCTTCCGGTCGTCTCGTGATCTGCGGCCTTGGAAAGCCTTTCCACTGTCGTATTGAGTTTCACGTATCTCTCCAACTCAAATTCCTTCGCATACATTTCAAGGTATTTCATGAACATGCTGTGATGCATGTAATTCGGCCATTCCTTTGGCATCGGATAGTCGGAGTAACATATTGTTGCTTTGCTGACGTTCGTTATTGTGCTTGCGTGGACGGAGCCAAGGTTAGGCCGTGGCCCGTCCGTGTAGTTCCAAATACCGCCGAACTTCGATTGTTGCTCAAAACATGTCGGTTGCAAACCGGCATCGAGGCAGCATTTGATGGCGGTCAGACCTCCGACGCCACATCCGATAATTGCGACTTTTTTGACGGCCATTTTAGTTCGTTCGCAGGCGAGACACGTTATTAAATAAACAATCTATCCTACGAGCAGCGCTTTTAAACAAGCGGTTACCAAAAAGATAGACTAATCGGCTTATATTTAGATTACGACAGCAGAGCTTACACAGGAACACGTAATTCAGTGTTTGGGGTATTTAATGCGTTTTTAAATAATGATAAAAATCGCCACACTTTGGTCCGAAACGTAACGATGCGTATAATATATTCACAGCATGGGCATTCTGACATATACTTAAATTAAACAGATGGAGTCATTTACAAACCTCATCATACAATTTGCCGAATTAATTTCTCTCCTATTTATTATTCTGCTGTCATCAGTGAGCTTCTATATTCTTTATTTACGTCGAATAAAATATGGCCATTTACCAGGTCCGCCCGCAAGCTCATTTTTTAAAGGTAAGCGGAATAAAGCGATGGCCAGCGATACAAATATGAATTACAATTATTTATGTTGAATTTGTCATTAAAAGTTTACTTTGCCCTGTTGAAATCCTTATAAATTTCATAACACTCAAAAGCCGATTACAATTCGCTCTTCGATTTCATGCATGTTCGAAAAGATGTTTCGTACGTGACTTGCAATTCACAACTCAATAAATAATTATTACAACAAATTCAAAATGGCGTCTTGTTGTTATTGTGATATTCATATAGGGACATAGTATATTCATAATCGCTTTTAAAAGATATGTATTGGTTGTAAGGCGAATATACGAATATGTTTAGCTACGGCCCTGCTGTTTACATATTGTGCTATCATAAAGTAGCTATATTTATCAGTCATTTGCAATGATAGATGAGGGAAATATTCGTGGTCAATCTTGCGGTTTTTACGTGCCATTACCGGCAAATTGATCATTGATCCGGCTTCCAGTAATTAAGCCATTATCGACACGAGCGAAAGGGCTGCATGCTTTCCGCTGTCGCGTTTTTTATACGCACGAACACGCACGTAAAAGTCCAGATCCTTATATATGTCAACATAATGTCATGTTTGAAAAAGCTAGCTGAATAAATCAACTTTTTTGCATATTTTAGTATGCATTTGTTGACCCATATGTTAAATAATAAAAATTTGGAGGCAATTGAAATTTACCGCGCGTAAAAAATGCGACAGCTGTAAAGACTGCTTACGCGTTTTTTATACGCACGTACACGTACGGAAAATTTTAAATGCTTTTAAATTTTTATCATTTAAATTCTAGGTCAACTAATGCATACTAAAATGTACAAAAAACTAAGTTCCTTCGATTTACTCACTTCGTTTTTTCAAAGGTAACATTGAAAAGTGGAAAACAGCCTTAATGCTGGAGCTAATAACCACGCGTGCCGCTGATAACTTAGCAGATATAGATCTCCGGCCTTTAAGGCGCTGTTACACTATGCAATTTTCCTTGGCAACGTGCAATAAAATTATGATACTGAGGGATGTTACTTTGCAAATGTAAAATGTTCGCTTTGAGTAATTTGACAACTTTCGATGCCTCAGAGGTAGAATTGCATTGCAAGTTGCGAGGAAAGTCGCATGGTGTAGGGATCAAGGATAGCGTGTTTGATATTTCCGTCGCTCGTGTCAAAAGGCTCACAGGCGCAGTTCAAATAATTAGACAACAGATAAGAATAAAGAGATTAAATAGTTTTGAAACATAGAAATCCTCCAACATGCATTGACCGCAGCTAAACCGCTTGATTACTTTGGGGAGGTTAATATATTCATACGTACATACGTAGTCAACAATAGACCTCTTTTTCATAATGACGTCAAACGCGGAAAGTATGATGTTACACGAAGTTTAATTGGCTCGATAGTTTTGTGGAGCAAATCAAATTTCGTGCAACATCAGACTTTCCGCGTTTGACGTCATTATAAGAAATGTCTCTTGCATTCGAAAGAAACTAGTCGAGCATAGGACAAATACATTTGAATTTGGAAAACCATGTCCTTGTTCCCAGTTCTTGCTACATGAAATACCGCACTCTTGGGAGTCATTTTGTCACAATATTTCATGTATGAAACGAGATTTGCTTAAGCGCTAACCATTGCTCTCCTTGCCAGGGAACTTTCCTGACATTAAAGCCAAGTTGGACAATGGTTGTTCATCCTTCGAGTTCATGCTCGACTGTCACCTGATCTATGGCGATGTGGTGTTGATATGGCTATTTCTTCTGCCTTGGATAAATGTCGCCAGTAGCTCCGACATAAAATACGTCCTTGTCACCGAAAAATTCCCCAAAGACCCAAGATTTTACAAGGAATGCCTGGAGACCCTCTTCGGTCAGAGGGCAATGGGTACAAGTTTGTTGACAAATCTCGACGATTCCCAATGGCGCCATCGAAGGTCCCTTATGAACCCCGCATTCCACCGTTTGTACCTACGCAATCTTATGTGTAACTTTAATCAGAGTTCGGATACATTTTTGACCAAATTGCACGGCCAGGCTGAAAGAGACCTGGAAACCAGGATGGTTGACGAGTTCTCATTGGTTACTCTGGATGTAATTTGCAAGGCGGGGTTTGGAATCGACCTCGACGTCATCAACGACCCGCACAGCCCGTTTATTCAGGCATACAACCTGATCATGAAGGGTGTCGAAGAGGCATTCGTGAACCCATTTCATAAATGGGATTTCAGATCCTACCCGAGGCAAAGGCAAGTCATAGGAGCACTCCAGTTTCTTCGCTATACCGGGCGCGAAACTATCCGAGCACGACACGAAGCTATCCGACGAGGTGAAGACAATCCAAAGGTAGAATTGTATTGTATTTTCTAATACCAAACTAAATCTAATCTATTGCTACAACTGATTGAAATGATGTTTTGTCTCATCAGGATATTTTAGGCCACATTATGTCAGACGGTCGGGATCGGACACTTTCCGGAGAAGACCTGATTGACGATTTCGTCACATTCTTTTCATCCGGGCACGAGACTACGTCATCAACTCTCTCTTTTTGTTTATTGGAACTGGCGAGCAATCAGCAAGCCTTGAATCGAGCGGTAAAAGAGATCAACGAGGTCCTGAGCACTAGAAATGACGTCACCTACGACGACCTACCAAAATTCAAATACCTGGACTGTTGTCTGAAGGAAACTTTACGTTTGTACCCTCCAGCCCCGGGGATCATCCGTATAACACCCAATAATGTTACCCTAGCCGGGTACCAAATTCCCAAAGGAACTACCACCAGTGCCAGTCCTTTTGTTATGGGACGCCATCCAGCGCTCTGCGACAACCCCGGAGATTTTATCCCTGAACGTTGGGAATCGAGCGACGACAGTCGAATCTCCGGGTTTGCATACTTTCCATTTTCGCTGGGGCCCAGGAATTGCATTGGACAGCAGTTCGCAATGATGGAAAGCAAAGTAATACTTGCAAAATTCTTGCAAACGTTCACGTTCCAGCTTCTTCCTGGGCAAACAAAACGAATCCATGAACGAGGAAGCCTGCAACCAATGGACGGCGTGATTTGTAAACTGTCAGCAAGAGAAAGCTGAACAAACAATTGATAAAAGTACAATAAATAAATAAAGAAACAAACAAACAAACAAATAAATAAATTTCTCAAGTTTCAAATACATCACGTTAATGTAACATGACGTTCTTCAATGATTGCGACTTTCTGTAAAGTGTGAATAAATTTGCAACATGACACGATGTAAAACATTTCAATTTCGATATACGTCGTGAAAAAGTAAATAAAGTTATACAACAAAACATTCCTAAACAATGGACGTGGCCATTATCGGATGTGGTGTTTCAGGTTTAACAAGCATCAAAGCCTGTCGTGATGTCGGCCTAAACCCTGTGTGTTTTGAACAGCAATCAAGTCTTGGCGGGGTGTGGAATTACACGGATGACCCTCGACCAAATCTTTCCTCCGTTCATAAATGCACCATTACGAATACTAGTAAACTGTTCACGGCGTTTTCAGATTTTCCTTTCCCAAAGGAGTTTCCAAACTATTTGCCGCAGAATTTAGTGCAAAAATATGTTGAGTTGTACGCGAAAGAATTTGATTTGGCGAAGTACGTGCAATTCAACACGGAAGTCGTGAAATTGGAACGGAGTGCGGATCACAGTGAAACGGGAAAATGGATTGTGTCTACCAGGTAACATTAACTTTGCATGATTCAATTTTGTAACAATTTAGGCGGTCCTAAAAGTAAGTAAACTAGATAAAATGAAAAAAGATGAAATAAATTATTTCTCGATTAAAACAGAAAATGGAAAGTCATTATTTTTCTATAGAAGGCTGGAGGAAGACAATTCTGAGATTAAAACCACCTTGTTTGATGCGGTGATGGTATGCAATGGTCACTACTCACACCAGGTGTGGCCGAATATCCCAGGAATGGAAAAATTCAAAGGGATGAAGGTACACAGTGGGGATTACCGAACATTTCATCCATTTGTTGGAAAGAAAGTTGTTATTGTAGGATGTAGCCACTCTGCTGGTAAGGATTGAAATATTGCATTTGAGTGAATAGCCACATGGAGAAAATGTTTGGATCAGGGTCATATTGGTGGGTGGGGGGAAGAGGATTTACTGGATCATTTTTTAACCATTTTTTCTTTCACTAACTAGTGGACATTGCAGTTGAACTAAGTCATGATCATGCTAAACAAGTGTACATCAGCACAAGAAGTGGCTGTTATCTTGTGACACGTCTCGGTCCTGGAGGACAACCTGCTGACTTCTTTATCAATAGAGTCGCTTCACTTTTGCCAATGAAACATATGGGAAAGCTATCACCAGTATTGCTAAACAACAAAGTCAATTTCAAAAACATTGGCCTTCATCCATCAGGCACTTTTGGTGTGAATCAAACTCCAGTGGTAAATGATCAACTGCTGCATCGTATTATTACGGGGCACATAATCGTCAAAGGAGATATCAAAGAGATAGCCGAGGATTCAGTCATTCTCCACGGAGGTGAAACGTTAGAAAAGATTGATGCCTTGGTCGTGGCCACTGGTTTTAAACCAATTTATCCATTTGCAAAAGACATTATTGAAGTAAAAGAGGAATTCTACACTAGTTTATATAAACATGTGTTTTTGCCAGATGATGACTGGCATACTCTAGCTGTCATTGGAGCTGTTGGGGTGAGTGGCCCTGTCCTCCCTGTCAGTGAAATGCAGGCAAGAGTTGCTGTAGAGGTTTTCCTCAAAAGATGCAAATTACCAAGCAAGGAAGATATGGAAACTGAGATTGCAAATAGGGAATGCGCATGGTCAAAATCAGGAGCATCTAAATACTACTTCATGCGGGTAGGCCTACAATCAAGTAATAACACATATGTTGTTTGTAGGTGTTTCTTTTGTTTAGGGACCGTGCTGCATTTTATCATTTGACCATTTGATGCCAAAATTGCAAACATATATCATTATCAGGACCCACTTGGTTGAACTGTTAGCTAAATGGAAATTAATATAATATGCCACTAAAATAGTATGCAAGTATGACAACAGTTTTTCTCCTCTGAAGTATTTTCTACATGTGTTGTTTAAATATTTTAAGTGATGCATGCAGTGTAACGTAATTTAAGGACTGACCTATCTATACTTAGCAATGACTCATACCATCCTGGTCTTCACAGACGTCTGTCTTTTTGTTAACCAATCAAAATGCTTGTTTAGTTGATTCAATACTGGTGCTTATTCACCTCAGTTTAACAACTTAGAATTAAGCCGTATCAATTTGTCGGGTTTTTTCTCGGTTTTTAATGAAAGACCGATTAACCAAAGAACCCTGATTTTTATCGATTAACCGATAAACTGCCCTAGACTAGATGTGTGATGACACATATGACGTTTCTAGGTGTTCCTCTGCCATTGGTGCTGCATTTTTAACATTTGACCATTTGATACCAAAGCTGCAAAAAATTATCATTATCAGGACCCACCTGGTGGAACTGCTAGCTCTGCTGATTGGAAATTAATATCATAAATATAGTATGTAAATATGACAACAGTTTTTCAGCTCTGAAGTATTTTATACATGTTTTGTTAAGGTTCTATATGTCCCATACATGAATGAACTTGGTGAAATGATTGGTGCAAAGCCAAACTTGTGGTCAATATTCAAAAATGACCCCAAACTGGCCTATCAATGTATCTTCGGTACAACTGTCGCAGCCCAATATCGATTGCAAGGACCAAACATTTGGCCAGGTGCTAGGAACCACATCATGACATTTAAGGAACAATATCTGTATCCATTACATACCAGAAGGTCTTCACCATCAGAAGAAAAAAGAGGTTATGGTGTTCTTGTATTCATCATTGTCGTGGGTCTTGCTATAGTTGCTGTTATGCTTAAGGCATGATGTGATAAATGCAATCATGAAAGTGCATGTGCTCTACACAGATCATATTAACTCTTTCCAACAAGCTAACTCATGTATATTTACTAGCTCTAATTGCAATATAATCAGAAGAGTTTACAGTTTAGAAATTCCTAATTAAAAACTTGTTCAGAAAAAGTTGGAGACAAGTAATATATAGTGACATACTGACATAAAACTATTAAATAGTTTAAAAATATATTTAATATTCAGATTTTGTAGAGTAAAGTGCAGTGTAACTGTGATTAATAAATGTTTTTTGTTCATAACATTTAAGTTACTTTATAGTTTTAATATATTGTATTTAAAATATTTTTCATCAGTTGATAATACACAACATTTTGTGTTACTACTCCGGCGTCAGCGACGGAGCATAGGCGGACGGAGTTGAAAATTCGCCCCGGTTTTGTTTTGTTGTTGTTTCTTTTTTTTTTAGTTTTCGTCGTCGCAAGTCTGAATGGCGCGAAACATTGTGGTATTTAAAATGTGTATGTAACCGTATAAATCTACGTCCCAGTCTTATCTGCCAAGAGTTGTGGTGCACAGCTTAGGCTAATTTTCCGATGCGCGATTCGATTTCGCTCGTATGATACGGCAATTCCTCCAAGAGCAACAAATAAACCGTTCTTTTCATGCTTTTCGACTAAGTTTAGATTGAATTGGGGTAAGAATATATTTAATACATGTAGATTATGGTCCTATTTTAATAATATCGCTGCTATTTCGCCGTTTAACAAGATGATGTGGTCGTGTATGGGCGCGTTGAACGTCGTACAGGATTGAAGATTTAATATAACTATATAAGCGCGAATTCCAAAGGCAAAGTGTAAGACAAAGCGAATATATCATGCGGTTTATTTACATTTTTGAACAATTGAACTTCTATACTTTTTAAAGTACGATGTCCTTTTGAATTTCGCGATCGAACATTTAGGTTCGCAAGGCATCTAAATGCGAATATGAACTGTATTGTTTATGTTCAGTGCGCCGGAGTTAACGCCAGAACAGGCGTCTTGTTATTTTAAGATATTTAAAGTTTTATAATTTAGGCTTCCAAGTGCATGTAAAAACTGTCAAAAATGCTAGCGTATTTTAACAAAACCCTGGTTAATAGAAAGAACTAAACACGTACTTCATATTTTAATATGGAAATGCAAATAACAATTTACCTGACCAGAAATTGCTGTGAATTTCCAGGAAGGTGTACTGTTGTGCACGAGTTCGTTGTATAAAGATTCTGGGATCACTTTTTAAACGCAAAATTGCTTTATATTTTTTGGTCTTTCGGTCTTTTGAAGTAATCGACACTGACTTCAATAACTAAATTATTTCAAAGATAATCAAGGTTGACGCTTAATATGCAAATCAGACAAAACTGTATCAGTGCTTACAACATTGATCAGATATTTATTTTCTGTTATTAATTAGTTTGCTGTTAATTAGTTTGATAATTACTAGTTATTAATAGTATGACGATGGAAAAACATTGGTAAACAATGGCCGCCGTTAGGGACGTGGCCATTATCGGCTGTTGTTTCAGGTTTAACAAGCATCAAAGCCTGTCGTGATGTCGGCCTAAACCCTGTGTGTTTTGAACAACAATCAAGTCTTGGTGGGGTGTGGAATTACACGGATGACCCTCGACCAAATCTTGGTTCCGTTCATAAAAACACCATTACGAATATTAGTAAACTGTTAACGGCGTTTTCAGATTTTCCTTTCCCCAAGGAGTTTCCAAACTATTTGCCGCACAATTTAGTGCAAAAATATGTTGAGTTGTACGCGAAAGAATTTGATTTGGCGAAGTACGTGCAATTCAACACGGAAGTTGTGAAATTGGAACGGAGCACGGATCACAGTGAAACGGGAAAATGGATTGTTTCTACCAGGTAAATGACACTCTAAGCGTTCACAGGATGAGATTAATTCCACACAAAAATAAAAAGTCATCATTTCTCTATAGAAAGTTGGATGAAGACAATTCTGAGATTAAAACCACCTCATTTGATGCAGTGATGGTATGCAATGGTCACTACTGGCACCAGGTGTGGCCGAATATTCCAGGGATGGAAAAATTTACAGGGATGAAGGTACACAGCGGGGATTACCGGACATTTCATCCATACATTGGAAAGAGAGTTGTTATTGTAGGGTGTAGTAACTCTGCTGGTAAGGACTGAAATATTGCATTTGAGTGAATAGCCACATGGAGAAAATGTTTTGATCAGGGTCTATTGGTGGGTGGGGGGAGACTCTGGGATGGGATCACCCTCCTTCATAAGTTTTATGATGGACATTTCTAAAAGACTTTTCATTGGCGTGATTTGTAAACTGTCAGCAAGAGAAAGCTGAACAAACAATTGATAAAAGTATAATAAATAAATAAAGAAACAAACAAACAGACAAACAAATAAATAAATAAATTTCTCAAGTTTCAAATACATCACGTGAATGTAACATGACGTTCTCCAATGATTGCGACTTTCTGTAAAGTGTGAATAAATTTGCAACATGACACGATGTAACAACATTTCAATTTCGATGTACGTCGTGAAAAAGTAAATAAAATTATACAATAAAACATTCCTAAACAATGGACGTGGCCATTATCGGCTGTGGTGTTTCAGGTTTAACAAGCATCAAAACCTGTCGTGATGTCGGCCTAAACCCTGTGTGTTTTGAACAACAATCAAGTCTTGGTGGGGTGTGGAATTTATACACTGATGACCCTCGACCAAATCTTTCCTCCGTTCATAAATGCACCATTACGAATACTAGTAAACTGTTCACGGCGTTTTCAGATTTTCCTTTCCCCAAGGAGTTTCCAAACTATTTGCCGCAGAATTTAGTGCAAAAATATGTTGAGTTGTACGCGAAAGAATTTGATTTGGCGAAGTACGTGCAATTCAACACGGAAGTCGTGAAATTGGAACGGAGTGCGGATCACAGTGAAACGGGAAAATGGATTGTGTCTACCAGGTAATATCAAAGTTTGTTTGCAACTTTGCACGATTCAATTTTGTACCAATTTAGGCGGTCCATTATTTATCGTTCATGTTGTTCATTGTTGAAATCAGCTACTATATAGAGATCAATGGCTAGAGATGAATGTATCAAATAAAATAAATAAAACAAGATAAAATGAAATAAGATGAAATCTCGATTAAAACAGAAAATGAAAAGTCATTATTTTTCTTTAGAAGGCTAAAGGAAGATAATTCTGAGATTAAAACCACCTTGTTTGATGCGGTGATGATATGCAATGGTCACTACTCACACCAGGTGTGGCCGAATATCCCAGGGATGGAAAAATTCAAAGGGATTAAAGTACACAGTGGGGATTACCGGACATTCTATCCATTTGTTGGAAAGAGAGTTGTTATTGTAGGATGTAGCCATTCTGCTGGTAAGGATTGAAATATTGCATTTGAGTGAATAACATGTTTGATCGGGCTATAATGGCGGGTAGGGGGAAGAGGAGATGCTGGATAATTTTTGAACCATTTTTTCTTTCACTAACTAGTGGACATTGCAGTTGAACTAAGTCATGATCATGCTAAACAAGTGTACATCAGCACAAGAAGTGGCTGTTATCTTGTGACACGTCTCGGTCCTGGAGGACAACCTGCTGACTTCTTTATCACCAGAGTCGCTTCACTTTTGCCAATGAAATATCTGAGAAAGCTATCACCAGTACTGCTAAACAACAAAGTCAACTTCAAAAACATTGGCCTTCATCCATCAGGCACTTTCGGTGTGAATCAAACTGCAGTTGTAAATGATCAACTGCTGCATCGTATTATTACAGGGCACATAATCATCAAAGGGGATATCAAAGAGATAGCCGAGGATTCAGTCATTCTCCACGGAGGTGAAACGTTAGAAAAGATTGATGCCTTGGTCGTGGCCACTGGTTTTAAACCAATTTATCCATTCGCCAAAGAAATTATCGAAGTAAAAGAGGAATTCTACACTAGTTTATATAAACATGTGTTTTTGCCAGACGATGACAGGCATACTCTAGCTGTCATTGGAGCTGTGGGGGTGGGTGGTCCTGTCCCTCCTGTCAGTGAAATGCAGGCAAGAGTTGCTGTTGAGGTTTTCCTGAAAAGATGCAAGTTACTAAGCAAGGAAGATATGGAAACTGAGATTGCAAATAGAGAACGCGCATGGTCAAAAACAGGGGCATCCAAATACTACTTCATGCGGGTAAGCCTAGAATCAAGTAATGACACATACTGTATGACGTTTCTAGGTTTTCCTCTGTCCTGGGTGCTGCATTTGATTTAATTAGACCATTTAATGTTAAATTGCAAACAGTGAACAATTATCATAATTAGGGCCCACCTGGTTGAACTGCAATTAACATAGACTATAGTATGCAGTAATACACGGACACATAATATATGTTTAATTTAAATCTTTTAAGGTTCCATATGTCCCATACATGAATGAACTTGGTGAAATGATTGGTGCAAAGCCAAACTTGTGGTCAATATTCAAAAATGACCCCAAACTGGCCTATCAATGTATCTTCGGTACAACTGTCGCAGCCCAGTACAGATTGCAAGGACCAAACGTTTGGCCAGGTGCTAGGAACCACATCATGACATTTAAGGAACAATATCTGTATCCATTACGTACCAGAAAGTCTTCACCATCAGAAGAAAAAAGAAGTTATGGTGTTCTTGTATTCATCATTGTCGTGGGTCTTGCTATAGTTGCTGTTATGCTCAAGGCATGAAGTGATAAATGCAATCATGAAAGTGCATGTGCCTTACACAGGTCACATTAACTCTTTCCAACAAGCTAACTCGTGCATATTTACTAGCTCTAATTGCAATATAAATAATATTAATTGACTTTTAGAACTGCTTCTGATAGATAATATGTTTTTTAGTTTTAAATTATTTACTAGAAGAGTTTACAGCTTAGAACCTCCTAATTAAAAACTTGTTCAGAACAAGTTGGAGACAAATAATATATAGTGACATACTGACATAAAACTATTAAATAGTTTAAAAATATATTCATTATTCAGATTTTGTAGACTAAAGTGCAGTGTAACTGTGTTTAATAAATGTATTTTGTTCATAACATTTAAGCTACTTTATAGTTTTAATATATTGTATTTAAAATATTTTTCATCAGTTGACAATACACAACATTTTGTGTTATTATTTTTGAGATCAAGATGTTTAAAGTTTTATAATTTAGGCTTCCAAGTCCATGTAAAAACTGTCAAGTGATGCTCCTCTACAAACATTGCTAAAATGCTAGCGTATTTTAACAAAACCCTGCTTAATAGAAAGAACTAAACACGTACTTTATATTTTAATATGGAAATGCAAATTACAATTTACCTGACCAGAAATTGCTGTGAATTTCCAGGAAGGTGTTGTGCACGAGTTCGTTGTATAAAGATTCTGGGATCACTTTTTAAACGCAAAATTGCTTTATATTTTTTTGTCTTTCGGTCTTTTGAAGTAATCGACACTGACTTCGATATCTAAATTATTGCAAAGATAATCAAGGTTGACGCTTAATATGCAAATGAGACAAAACTGTATCAGTGCTTACAACATTGATCAGATATTTATTTTCTGTTATTAATTAGTTTGCTGTTAATTAGTTTGATAATTACTAGTTATTAATAGCATGACGATGGAAAAAACATTGGTACGCAATGGCCGCCGTTAGGGACGTGGCCATTATCGGCTGTGGTGTTTCAGGTTTAACAAGCATCAAAGCCTGTCGTGATGTCGGCCTAAACCCTGTGTGTTTTGAACAACAATCAAGTCTTGGTGGGGTGTGGAATTACACGGATGACCCTCGACCAAATCTTGGTTCCGTTCATAAAAGCACCATTACGAATATTAGTAAACTGTTAACGGCGTTTTCAGATTTTCCTTTCCCCAAGGAGTTTCCAAACTATTTGCCGCAGAATTTAGTGCAAAAATATGTTGAGTTGTACGCGAAAGAATTTGATTTGGCGAAATACGTGCAATTCAACACGGAAGTTGTGAAATTGGAACGGAGCACGGATCACAGTGAAACGGGAAAATGGATTGTTTCTACCGGGTAAATGACACTCTAAGCGTTCACAGGATGAGATTAATTCCACACAAAAATAAAAAGTCATCATTTCTCTATAGAAAGTTGGATGAAGACAATTCTGAGATTAAAACCACCTCATTTGATGCAGTGATGGTATGCAATGGTCACTACTGGCACCAGGTGTGGCCGAATATTCCAGGGATGGAAAAATTTAAAGGGATGAAGGTACACAGCGGGGATTACCGGACATTTCATCCATACAGTGGAAAGAGAGTTGTTATTGTCGGGTGTAGTAACTCTGCTGGTAAGGATTGATTAATATTGCATTTGAGTGAATAGCCACATGGAGAAAATGTTTTGATCAGGGTCTATTGGTGGGTGGGGGGAGACTCTAGGATAGGATCACCCTCCTTCATAAGTTTTATGATGGACATTTCTAAAAGACTTTTCATTGTGATTTATGCGGCGAATAATCATGTGATTTGTTTTTCACTAACTAGTGGATATTGCAGTTGAACTAAGTCATGATCATGCCAAACAAGTGTACATCAGCACAAGAAGTGGCTGTTATGCTGTGACACGTCTCGGTTCTGGAGGGCGACCTGTTGACTTTTCTATCTCCAGAGTCACTTCTTTTCTTCCAATGCAACATTTGGCAAAACTATCACCAGCATTGCTAAACAACAAAGTCAATTTCAAAAACTTTGGCCTTTATCCAACTGGCATCCTCGGTGTAACTAAATTTCCTGTTTGCACAGACAAACTTGTCCATCGTATCATTACTGGGAGTATAATAGTCAAAGGGGATATCAAAGAGATAGCCAAGGATTCAGTCATTCTCCACGGGGGTGAAACTTTAGAAAAAATTGATGCCTTGGTCTTGGCCACTGGTTTTAAACCAATTTATCCATTTGCAAAGGACATTATTGAAGTAAAAGAGGAATTTTACACTAGTTTATATAAGCATGTGTTTTTGCCAGACGATGACTGGCATACTCTAGCTGTCATAGGAGCTATGGTGGTGAATGGCCCTGTCGCCCCTGTCAGTGAAATGCAGGCAAGAGTTGCTGTAGAGGTTTTCGCCAATAGATGCAAGTTACCGAGCAAGGAAGATATGGAAACTGAGATTGCAAACAGGGAACGCACATGGTCAAAATCGGGGTAACCCAAATACAACTTCATGCGGGTAAGATTAGAATCAATACACACTGTATGACGTTTCTAGGTTCTTCTTTGTCCTGGGTGCTGCATTTTTAAAATTTGACCATTTGAGTTAAAATTGCAAACGATTATCATAATTAAGGTCCACCTGGTTGAATTGCAATTAACATAGAATATAGTGTTTAGTAATACACTGAAATATTTTAAGGTTCAATATGTCCCATACATGAATGAACTTGGTGAAATGATTGGTGCAAAGCCAAACTTGTGGTCAATATTCAAAAATGACCCCAAACTGGCCTATCAATGTATCTTTGGTACAACTATCGCGGCCCAGTATCGATTGCAAGGACCAAACGTTTGGCCAGGTGCTAGGAACCACATCATGTCATTTAGGGAACAGTATCTGTATCCATTACGTACCAGAAAATGTCCACCACCAGAAGAAAAAAGAAATTATGGTATTCTTATATTTATCTTTGTGATGGGTCTTGCAATAGTTATTTTATTGTTGAAGACATGAGATAGTAATTACAATTATGAAAGTATGTCAAACATAGGTCATAATATTAACTGTTCCAAACAAGCCAACTTTTTTAAATATACTGGGTTATGCTTTTCAATGACAAATTTATAATTTTACATATTATAATTAGCTTTCAGAACTGCTTTTGAATTTGATAGATCATATTTTGATGAATTTGACATTACCAAATTACCAGAGAAGTTTAGGTTTCATCTGGGAATTGAAAACTTGTTTTGTAATAAGTTTGAGACAAATAATATTGATTATGTTGAATAATGTTTTAATACAGAGTAATATATAGTATAACTAAGTTTCTAATAAATGTATTTTATCATAATATTCAAGCTACTTTGTATTATTTGTTATCAAGGGCCAGTTGTATAAAAGACTAGTTAACTAGACTTAGTAACTGTTAGACTTTTAACTGTAGTTAAGTACAGAATTGACCAATCAGAGTTGTGTATTTCTGACTTAACTAGGATTTAACTATGCAAAATGTAGTTGAAGGGTTTTATACAACCAGTCTCAGATAGTAATTAACAGTGTATAGTATATATTATTTTTGAAATATTTTAAAGTATTATATTTTAGTTTTCCCAGTGCATATAAAACAAGTGTTGCTCCTCTACAAAATCTTGATAAAATGCTAGCATATTTCAACAAAGCCTTCATTTGGAGGAGCTAATCATATACTTTATATTCTATTATGGAAATACAGAGTACATGATTATATACCTGACTGGAAATTGCTGCAAATTTCCAGCAAGGTGCTGTGCATGAGATACCTTGTATCCAGATTCTGGGATCACTTTTGAAGCACAAATTGCTCAATGAATTCCTTTTGCTCTTCTTCCGTCTTAAGAAGTGACTCGTACTGACGTCGATATCTGGATTGGGCCAAAAGTACAGTGAGGAAATTAACGCACAGCCCTAAAGGTGAACTGCAATGAATTTTAAAATACCTTTCCAGTTGGACTTTCTTCTCACCAATCAAAGCCTGCAATTGCTGTTGCTCTGTCTCTCGTTGCTTCTCGACTGATTTTAACAAATTTCTTGAACCTATGGCCTAAATAAGTACAACAATATTATAATTTCATGTCACATCAGGTTAGTAAGGACTGGCTTTCCAGAACCAGTTTTGTTTTCTAGATGGCATCTCGTTCTTGTCAACAGCAGCGTAATTCTATAGTGCCATGTCTAATTACCACCCCCTGTGTGGTAAGTATGTATCGTGCAACCAAGCTATCAGGGCCACAATTTTAATGTCTTCTATTTACTTACTTGTATTTTTTAAAATATTGAGTGCACAATTTGCACACTTTCCAGAATAGCACTGCAAGAGAGTCATCCTAGGTACTACTAACAGCAGGGCCGCCGCTACTACTTATATCAGACAACTTTATCAGACAACTGTGGTGTCTCAAAATTTCAGGACTTTTATAATTCTATAACCTTACCTTCATTTTTTCATTTTCAACTTCCTTGGCAAGGCCATCAACCATCCCGATAAAATTTCCCACAATGCTTTGAAACTCAGATATTTCTAGGGGAAGAAAAGTGGATATCTTATACATAAAGTTACATTTTATAAACTGTCAGATATGAGGAAAAATAATAGACATTGAGCCGCTCAATACTGCACAAGTCCAAGTTTTTACACCAAAAATACTATAACTAGAAAATAACGATGTTATAAAGTCGATTCAAAAGACTACAAAACGTATAAAGTTGCAAAAATCATAAACAAAATCATGCAAGGACAGAAGGACCAAAATAGAACAAAATCATGCAGTTCAAATTTCACTTAAAACAAGATAATTTAACAAATGTTTGCCACAATATACTTACTGTCGACGAAATCTTTACATTCTTCTTTCAATTCCTGAGTTTGTTGGTAAACCTCTGGCTCAAGAACACGAACTTTCGACAATTCATCAAAATGAAATCCACTCGCTTCGTCCGCCATGTTTATCTGTTGCCATGGGTTCTTCCCCACTGAGCTATATTAAATTCCTGGAGGACTGGCTCTTGACAAAAAAGTGAAGCAAAAAACATGGCGGATTTTTTCGTGCTGACGCCAGATATGGTCCCAATGGGCAATGGGAATGACCGCTCACCGCTGACCAGGGGCGGCGGAACATAAAATATTTTGGGGGGCTAATTTCACGAGGCGCCACCATGGTTGGCGCCGAGCGAAATTCTTTTGGAATTTCAATGCTCTAGATCTTCGGAAATGGCCATTTCAGAGTGTTACTTGCCACTTTCATCGTAGTTTTTCATGGGCAAACACAAACTGAAAACGGCACAGCGCGTGTAGTGATTTCTCCTACATTTGAAAAATCATCTCTCAAATTCTGAAAATAATTTCCAAACAAAATGGCGATCCGAAAATAATAACAATATACAACCACGAATATTTTATATTCTGCTGTTAAAGACAACTATGATAGATCAAAGAAAGTCAATTTACATTCACTTGATCCGTATTACAATATAGGATATCTTATTAACATTTAATACGCCGGCGAGCATTAATTTGACGACTTCGTGGTAACTTAGTTTGTATATTTGCTCTCCCATCCTGGCTTTCTTCATGAAATTTTTTGGGGGGGCTAAGCCTCCCCACTTTTACTTCTGGGGGGGCTTTAGCCCCCCTAGCCCCCCCTGTTCCGCCGCCCCTGCCGCTGACAACCGCGATACAGTGCTTCAGGCGCACTCCTTCGCCCTCCGGCTGCCTTCGAAAAATATTTTTTGTTTTTTGTTTTTTTTCAAACGAATCCGACTATTTTCGACTATTTTTTCGACCTTTAAAAACAATGGACTCTTTTTGCAGTGTGTTGATGCAATTAGTATCCAGAAAGGATGAATATCGACTCATACTTGTAAGCCGATTTATATTTACTTCTGAAGTTTCATCGATGGCATTTTTGACAGCTCTCATAGAAAATGAATTGAGATTCACGCTTATAGTTTTATCCGGATAAGTTGTTTCTCATGGCGTGAAATAAACAGGGTCAATGTTTCCAAATCTCTAGGTATGTATATTGATAGTCACCTCTCGTGGTCAGAGCATATTGACAAAATATCCAAAAAGGTTTCTTGGGCTATTGGAGCGTTAAAGCGCGCAAGACCCTTTATATCGCGCAAAGCGACAGTTCAGCTTTATTTCGCTTTAATACAACCACATTTTGACTACTGCTGCTCGGTTTGGGATGAATTAGGGGACACACTTGCAAAAAAATTATAAAAATTACAAAACCGAGCAGTTCGAGTCATAAAAAGGTCAAGTTATGATGCCAACGCTTGTGCTTTCTTAAATCGCTTGCAATTAAAAGGAATTATGCCTCCATATTTACAAACCCTGTTTTCTATTCGAAATTCTGAGTATGACTTTAGAAATAATCAATTTAAATTAAATTTACCAAAACCACGAACGAACTATCTAAAACGTAGCTTATGCTATAGCAGGGCTTTGCTATGGAATAGCATTCCTGAAGAAATGCGTAATTTAACCCTCTTTCCTCAATTTAAGAAAGCTACAAATGATTATTTTACTAATATATATAACGACTCTATCACGGAAATTTTGTAAACCAGTTGTATTTTTTTAACTAAATATTCCACCGTGTTTAGATAAATTGTTTGTGATTGTATTGTATTGTATTTGTATTTTCCGGCGAATATATGACCATGGTCGTATATTTGCAATTTTCCGGCGAATATGACCATGGTCGTATTTGCCATTTTCTGGCGAATATGACCATGGTCGTATTTGCCATTTTCCGGCGAATATGACCATGGTTGTATTTGCCATTTTCCGGCGAATATGACCATGGTCGTATTTGCCATTTTCCGGCGAATATGACCATGGTCGTATTTGCCATTTTCCGGCGAATATGACCATGGTCGTATTTGCCATTTTCCGGCGAATATGACCATGGTCGTATTTGCCATTTTCTGGCGAATATGACCATGGTCGTATTTGCCATTTTCCGGCGAATATGACTATGGTTGTATTTGCCATTTTCCGGCGAATATGACCATGGTCGTATTTGCCATTTTCCGGCGAATATGACCATGGTTGTATTTGCCATTTCCCGGCGAATATGACCATGGTCGTATTTGCCATTTTCCGGTGAATAAGACTGAGTCTGAGCACAAATGACAATGAACTGATTCCCACATACAAAATCAAACTGTAGTTTAGAGTTAAGTCTCTCATATCATAAATGGTGAATATGTAATACGACTTAAGCCAACCAAGCGTACCTAAACGGAGATAATTTCCGTTTTCTTAAAATATGATATGAAAAACTTCATATTCAAATTCTTTCGAGATTTTAGTTCGCCAATGTTTTCAGATATCACCATTATTTACTGAAAATTTTCAGCCTTAAGTAATCGTATGCCACATTTAAAGCACGAAAAGTACGTGTCAGTTGTGTAGATCTTAAAATGAAATTAACAAATAGTAGAAAAAAAGTCGAAAAATAAAAATTAATAACGAAAACAATTTACCGCTAAGTTTTTTCAAAAAATATGCAGGGGGGAGTGAATGTTGGAGCGGGCTCAATATTGAGCCGTGTCAGTGGTCATTACCATTGCCCAGTGGGACCATATCTGGAGTCAGCACGAAAAATCCGCCATGTTTCTTGCTTCACTTTTTGAGCCCAAAACATTAGGAGCCGGTGCTCCAGGAATTATTATATAGCTCAGTGGTTCTTCCCGCTTGGCATTTGTAAAATAACATCCTTCACAAGTCGAAGGCAAAAAAACTGCTTCTGTGCTTTCGCAAGTATACTGTATACTTGCTTTATTTACATTTTAACTTTGAGCAAAATTTGAGCAAACTTCGACCAAGATACGAGATGGCAGTGGTTTTTAATATTATGCAAACATTATTTCTACGAATTTATCCACAGACTCATCATTACACATGCACGTCTACCTGATTAAATGACTAAAATTACCCTGATTGACCAGCCAAGCATTACAGGTGAGCAATCAAATCCAAATTCACTAGAAAGTTGTAAAACCAACTACCCGAACTAGTCTTAGCTAGGACATAGGCGAACGGCATCGCATGCACAACAAGTGAACTGGTTCAAACCCAGGTTGCAAGAGTTTAGACGTACATACTATAAAATTTCAACTACTTACAAAATGATTAAAGTTTCTAATTGTTTGTTTAATTACCTCTGGACAACTTTTTACTGAATTTATTAGGTGCCATTGTTGATAATATACTTCAATATATGCACAAATGTTACATAACCAGTGATAAGTTTTTATAAACACCGGTTTGTGACAGGCCGAGCCTTAGGAATCATTTTGGCGTATGTAAATAACGAGATAATCTAATTGGCGCGCCTCGCGAGTCGCGACAAAATAGGCGAGAGTCGCGGCAAAAAAGGCGCGACTGGAACAAAAAACGAGCGACTCCAGACGAAAACGTGTATATTAATTTCGAGAAAATAATCGATACACCGGCAATTACACCGAAAAATAATTTATTCAATTCAATTTTTTACGGTCGCGCGAGCGAATTTTTCCCAAACGTTCACCATCACGAATAGACAATGGTTGAGTCGCCAATCAGAATGTAGGATTTGTAATAGACAATAGTCGGGTGTATACTAAATAATAATATTTAATTTGTTTTTTCATATCGCAATGATTACTTCTAAAGCGTCATAGCGATTATATAACCTGCGGGTTTTGCAACGAGGAGGGATTCCACCGCATGATCTTATCATAATTTGGTTGGAGTCCGTTTTAGAATATTGTTGTACAGTGTGGCATTGTGCACTGCCTGGGTATCTATCTGATGAAATTGAGAAAGTTCAAAAACGCGCATTGAGGATTAAACTGCCAGGTCGATCTTACAGTGAAGCGCGAGAACTGCTGCAATGTCCTAGACTTGGTAATCGTCGAAGCGAACTTTGTGGGAAAAGAATTAAAAATATAGCATCAGGCGGCCGCTTATTGCGCCACCTAACCCTGATTGAAGACGAACATCGATATAATTTAAGAAACATTCAATAGTTTTCCTCTTTTAATGTAGAACAGATAGGTTTAAAAACAGCTTCTTCCCCCAGCATGATTAATACATTAAAATAGGTAATTTTAAACTAAATTTTGAACTATCTTGTAAAAATAGGTATTCTTATTTGTATATAATATATAGCTACGTGTAGTCTGTAGATAATAATCTTGTAAAACACATTGACATTGTAATTCATTTTTATGCGACGATGTGTTATTAAATCTCAAATCATCAAATCAAAATTTTGTAACAAAAGGTAGAGTTGCACAATAACTATTCGTAAAATTTATAATTATAATTATTCGTGCATGTGTATTTGTGTTTTGTTTACGTTTCCGTCTGGTGCTCATATACAAACATTAAACAATATAACCATGCTTTGGTTATGATGTCAAATTTTTTGACATGGATAACCACGCTGTTTTAATGGTCAAATGCTTGTCCAATGTAAAGTTTCCAGCATGTTTGGCGCTCATATACAAACATTAAACAGTATAACCATGCTTTGGTTAAGATGTCAAATTTTTGACATGGATAACCACGCTGTTTTAATGGTCAAATGCTTGTCCTATGTAAAGTTGCAAGCATGTTTGGCGCTCATATACAAACATTAAACAATATAACCATGCTTTGGTTATGATTTCAAATATTTTGATATGGATAAACGATGTTTTAATGGTCAAACGCTTGTCCTATCACCGAGGAATGTCTGTAATTGCATCTTCATTAGCTGTGTTCATTATAGCATTAAACATCACACGTCTTCTTTTTCATGAAATGCTCCGAGATCAACTATAAACAATACTCGACCACTTTTGTCGGTGAACTGCCTTGCACCGAGATTCTGCGGTCTCCAAAATTCTGCTTTTCTTGTAGTTTGGAATGGGACGAAATCTTCACTTTAGCTTGTGATGTGAAATCAGAT